AGACTCCACTACTAACTACCCTCTTAAATTTTGCTTCATACATACTGTGCCATCTTCACTCATTTTCAGACAGGATCCAAAGTCTGCTAGTCGTATGTGGCCATTCATGTCCAAAAGAACGTTATCAGGCTTTATATCTCTGTTATAACAAAAAGAATTGAAAAGATTTCAGTATATAAATTACTAGCTTTGCTTGTGAAGACGAATCTTACATCAGAATAAAAAGAAACTTTACACTGGATACCTATTGGTACAAACTCTTTTTTCTGTGTATGATTCCCTCCTCCCGACTTAAATCTTTGCCTTCAACATTGGAGCCTTGAATTACATCAGATTTTCAGATCAGCCAAATTGAACTCTCAGCAGTCAAATAGCCAAACAGAACAATTATGGTTAGTCATAGCACTGTAATGGAGAGGTAGAGCACTTCACCAACATTATTTCCAGATTATGCATGTCACAACACATTGTTTAGGAGTAATAAAGACAAAAGAGAAATGACAATTTATTTCAATCTGATTTTTTTCGTCAAGTAACTAATTTCTGACCTTCTGATATACGTAAGAGTATTAGTGATATATATACATATTTAAAAACAACCTCAAAATATCACGAATTATTTTAAGAGAACCTAGCCAATATGTCGGGAAGATGGCATGGAGGATGGAAGAGCAAGAAGGCAGAACTATCTCAACTGAGCACTAGTTCTGCTGGACAACATCCCACTGTCTTGCAAGTTAACCTATACTTGTCTCCCCCTACTTTCTTTAGCTATCAGTACACAACATAAATTCCCAACAACTCAGTAATATCACCATGGCACTTCAAAATATTACCAGCTGAGTTGGCTTAAGATAATCAGATCTATAAGTCTGGTCTTTTTTACGCCCCCCTCAAAAAGCTACCATACATGTTAAAATAGAACTTTGCATTATCAATAAATAAATAAAACCACACATCCTTTACATGAAACCTGCTGGTGTGCATCACAAAATGCCCAATTTCCTTTCAGATGTGAAATTCCAAATGTGGTCATTGTATGTGGTCAAAAAAAAAAAAATTGCACAATAGTGTTAGCTTATTTTGAGGAACAAGATAGAGTTTCTATGATTAAAAAAAAAAAAAAGAAATAAAAAAGCAGCTATCTGAAATCTCCTTGCCTCAGATGTGGAAGCGGACCATGACTGCTTTTTAGATTGCTAAATTCCACTATGTCACACTTGAGTAAACTTATGAAAGAAAACATGAGAATAGGTTTAATGATGCGTCTTCATATGTAAAAAATCCTGCCAATCTGATATGTTTCCCCAAAACAAACGTGAATTACTGCTTTTTAACCAAAGGCTAATGCTTTGAAACTAATTACTGAAAATTCACTAATACTGTTGTTCAGTGGCTGTATTGGAAAAAAAATAAATTAAATGCTAATTTATGCCTGTCAAGATACATAAAGTGCCTTCTTTCTTGTTACAACATGGAACAATATTTGCTAACCCAGAAAATTAAGCCATGTCACTCTGCTTTCCCAATAAACTAATTAGCAATTTTCCACTGTAAAATTTATTCCATATGTTTAAATTTTCTCTGTAAGATTTACTCCATACATTTCAGTTCCAGATATTGTCACAGTTCACTTGAAGCCAAACATGGTGGAGGCAGAAGACTATAAAAGCCCAGCAAAAGCTCATAGTTTTTAAAACACACCACTCAATCAATGCATGAGGCCAACAGCATCCAATTCATCTCTGCTTTTCAGGCAGATCCCCCTTGCCTAAGGGAAGGCTGCTTCTGTTCAGAAGGCTTAATGTCTCATCAGTGAGCTCCACAGTTTCCTATCTGCAGCTAACAGGTCAAATAAGCCTTTAAAGAGGTCCTGGAAATCTCTCCAGAGCCATCGTGTTTCTTGATAATCCATCCCAGCTGCCACACAACAGTTTCTTGGGCACTCACATCCCATCTCTCCATAGTACGTTTTGTCCTGGCACTCTGGTCGCCACCCTGGACCTTCACTCAACCCTGCACAAAGATTTAGTAGCTCAGCTGGTCGCAGCACCTTCCCTGGAAATGGGGGCAGGGGTGTCTTGGGGGGAGCTCTTCTGCGATCAGCTGTGTCCTCTGAGCACCGCTGAAAACTCACATTCACACAAGAGCATGCTGCAGCAAACAGACCTGCATGGCTAAACTCCGTGCTGGCTGCCAAATAACATGAAAGTAGCAATATTCTTGCATGGATGGTCAAAGCTTTGATTCCTCTGGGGCAGACAGTTAGTGAATCCATCTGAATCTAGAGCTTTTGCTTTCAGTGGACCCCAAATACAGACCAAGCAACATGCAGTAGCTTCGTTATTGTCCATTTGGCGATGATGCATTTACTGCATGGTTTAGAACCATCAAAGCACCCCACCTGTCCAAAAGCAAATACTAATACTTAGGACAGCAGATCATCTTGTTATGTATTTGTGGCAGGTGTCAGAGAGCATTGCAGACCATATTGCTACTTTTTCCTGCAAGTTCTTCCATAAGTTTACTTACGTTAAGTTCATAAATACTGAAAGAGGGACAGCTTTTCTGATAGATGCATATATAAGGCACTTATTTAAAGCTAGGGCTGCTTAAGTGCTTGGGCCCAATTTGACATGCGTAACTAATATGCAATTAAATGACAGATATCAGCAGCTGACATATAAAGAGCCAAAGGACAGCAATACCTGTGCTGCATAACACCTAGGGCTCAATTCAGTTTCTAGAAAGACTGCACAACAAAAGGCTACCAATCTCTTAATCTCAAAATATGTAAACCTCTTAATCAGTAACATGGACATTTACAATACTTAAAGAAAACAAACAACAACAACTCCTAACTTTTCAATCATCCATTGGAATTGGTGAGTTAAACATCTGTACATCTCAAAAGACAATGTATAAGGTTCACCTACTTACAACCATTTGTCCTAGAACGCAGAATCACTAGGAGCCCATAACACTAAGACCTTCATGCATTGTCTACATCTATTTACAAATTATTACAGCTTTTACATACATTCTACCTGTGTGCTTGTAAGTAAAAAATGTATGTATGTGCATATATAAAAATACATTTGAATCTTCAAAACAGCGATAAAATTCTGAATGGAATAAAGATCAAAGCATCATATTTTGTTTTAGCATTCCATGTGCCTTTTAAATATTAATTGTGAATAAATTCATCCCATCTACTGGTTTGTGCTTAAAATTTCACAAGAGATCAGTAAAACTCTCATTTTACAGGTACAGATAAAAAGGCATGGAGAGGTAAAGAAGCTTGGTCAGGATATGCCTACCAAGTCGGATACAATGCTAGCACAGGGTCCTCTTCTCCTAAGCTTGCATTTTGGTGACCTGTCATGAACCTGCTCTTATGGCCACAAGCAGTTTTCAGTTAAATAAGAAAACATCATTACTCAGTATTTTGCAACTTCCCTGCAAGATACCCTTTACTGAAAGCAGGATATCAAGTCAGAGTATAGAGAGACAACTGCAAGGGTTACCAGGACCAATACCATTTTGCTTTCTAATTGACACACAGCATGTAGTTGTGAAAGTCTGTAGTTGTTAAAGCTGAAAAGCACATCAGGGATAGAAAATCTCACTTGATCAAAATGCCTGCAACAACAAAAGCTGGAATACTGCAAGGGAGGCATGTGGAAAGAGCTCTTCTGAAACAACTAATGCCAAAGGGTAACTCAACAGACAAGCCTACCAAGCACAAGGTGCAATCCTTATTTCCTCTCCCATAGCACGAAGAAGAGCACACTAACTGTTACAGAATGTGACCTAAGTTAACATGATAGCAGACACTGCTGGGGACACCGCCAGAGATTGATCTGGAAATACAATCCGTATGCAGACACCAAGGAGACAGGCATGTGCCCACTTGTTCCAGTAAATGTACATATCTGTTTGATGCGGACCTCGGATAGATAAATACATTGAAGGAATCCTGTTTACTGCAGAAGAATTTTGCCTAATGTCACAACATTTGCAAATTTTGCCTAATGTCACAGCATTTATGAATGTCACAACATTTGCTAAGTCAAACTGCTTCAAACTTGTAAGCTGCCTTTGACAAAGGCAAATAAATATTCATCAGGTAACCTTGTCTGAATTGAAAATCAGTCAAAAAGCTCAATTAAAAATGAAAGCTTTACTGAACATTAGCTAGTTAAATGTAATGACTTCTAAAAATGAATCAATCAACTTCGAATTTAATTTGCAAAAATTTATACAGTTGTTACACAGTAAGCAAGTGTCCACAGCAGTTTGTCTGTGGCTACTGTGCTCATTTGTAATAATTCCCGTAGGATTATTTTATGTTACCCCCATGTTTTTTTCCCCCAAGAAAGACGGTGTCTTACCTGTGCACGTAATGCAGCTCATGTATGGAATGTATGGCAAGCACCATTTCCCCAATGTAGAACCTGGCCATATCTTCAGGAAGCTTGTCTTCAAACTTACTGAGAAGTGTCAGCAAGTCACCGCCAACATAGTAGTCCATCACTAGATACTGGAAAGGGGGAGAAAAAAAAAAAACAGTGAAGTATTGAGAGACAGTAGGTAAAGAAAACTTCAATTTCTCTCTTAACTAGTGTAAAAGACAAAAATCAATCTATTCACACCAGAAAAATACAACCTTAAACTGTAAACTTCTAGAAGGGACAGGAACAAGAACTAGTTCATACTATGAATTTATTGAAGAATAACTGAGCTACATTCTCATTAACAGGAAATACTTGATACAGCCTGTAGAAGAAAATACTTCATGAATGAGGAAAAAGTGAGCATTAATGTTTTAACGTTAATGTTTTAACATTTAATGTAGGATACTTATATTGTGCTAAGCACCTGCTGAGGAAAACATTATAGATTCAAGCAGTAGCAATCCAACCTTCCTCTGAACAGTATTTTGATTAAAGTTTCACTCAAACTCTACCAGAGGGGGAAAAAAAAAAGTGCTTGTAAAACTGGTCTAACTTAGTCTGAAGATAAACATTTCATTCCTGCACTTTTTTGATACCACTTTGCCTATATGCAGGTCTTTTAAATTCCACACCATTTTTTAATACATTTTAAAGAAATTCACTGGAAAAAAAAAAACACCAGAATGTTGCCATTTTGTAGAATTGCTATATTTCAGTTCTGCATCTTCACATGCCCTACTAATATTAAATAAAAGGAACAAGCCTCCAGTTATCTCTTGATTCTCTGATGTCAGCCACTGATTGTCTACTTAAAACAATTTTAAGACTACTGTCGTGTCTTAAAATTTTACATGCCTAAATTCTGCTATTAGGTGAACCTTCACCACCTAGACACCTGTGGGAACTTGGGGTGCACTATACTGCTACAAATTGCTGGGAACAAAATTTCACAGAACAATATTAGCAACACAGATGCCTCTCTACATTGTTACTACTGTCTCTTGCTGTCACTGCAGCTGCAGTTTGAGGTGGGAGATACTTGGAAATACCCCATTTAAGGACATCTTGAACTTCTACACAAGTCTAAAGGCTATTTCTGAAGAAAACTGAAATCTTGAGATGTCTTCACCTTAGAGGCAGTACCACAGGTAACTAAACTTCGAGGATTAGAAAATCTGGCTCTACTACAAAATAAAGGACTAATTAAATTAAAATTTACTGAATGAGGGTCCAGAACCTGATTGCTAATTTTGCCAGTGCTTGTTACTCTAAAAATACTTAAATAAGATACATTCTTAAAATTGTTTGAGTGGTTGCAACACCTCTGAGAAATCTGAAGTATCTTCCAAATCCAACCTATGCTTGGTTCCTTAATCCATATGCATGTTGTCATCAACAAGTTTTTCTTATTTATAATCATGTGTTACTGTGGTGCTATCCAAAAAGCATTAAGAACTTGAAAACTTTTACACTGTAATTATGCCAGTGTTACAGTCCACAAAGCTTCCCCCAAGTTAACCACGTTTAAGCTCTATGCTTCAGTCTGTTGTAATATGTCAGGGTTGAATCAGAACTTTTCTGACTTCTATGACAAAGATAAAGTAGTTTGTTATAATTCTAGTTATCAACAATTTTACGGTATAATCATCACTATTTTAAAATGTGAGTATTGCCGAGTGCTGCATAACCCCAAAAAACTACTGAGATGACCAGTCTGCTGATTTACACACTTTACTTAAATGCCTTTGGGGAAGCTGTTATTTTTTCCGATGCTTTTCAGGTATGAATTTAAGCACAGCTTAAAAAAAAAGTTAAATTACTTTTGCCATTTTAATAAAGTCTTGCTTCAAAAGTTATTTTGCACATTTAAGGCAAAATAAAAATATTTCTTCCTTTCACAGAATCAGCATGTTTCCAAAATGCTTACTACATAGGTATCAAAAAATTCTTAAGCATGATATACTTTATTTAAGGACAAATTTGTTTATTTAAGATGATTAACTAACCCTGATGCTATAGTACAACATGACTTTATCACTCTCCTGCAGTCCTTCGAATTTTTTTTCCCCAAAGGAATGTCAAAACACTACTGCAAGGCATGAAGTAGGCAGATTTATTGAACCAATATCCTTAAATTTACCAGAAATAAAGTTCCTGCATAGCATAAAACTTTTGTTTGCTGAAGAATCAAACATACCAAATAGTTCTCATCTTGAAAGGCATAGTGCAAAGTAGTAATCCACTGGCAATCTCCATTCACCAAAACATTTCTCTCTTCTCGGAAACAAGCTGTCTAAAGGAAGGGAGGGAGGAAAAAAGCCATTGTCAATATCTACAAGTGTTTTCACAGTATGAATATATATTCATGTTTTATGGGATTAAGATTTCTCCTCTTCAGGTTTGTAGTTAGGCATTCAGTCATTCTAATCCTTACTAAGACCTTAAAAAACAAAAACAACAACAACAAAAACACCCACAACCCACAGAACAATTTGAGATAACACTGAATCTTTGTTCCATAATATATTTTAAAAGAAAAGTAGTAACTTGCCAGTACAATCTATGGAAGAATGGTAATGGTGCTAGCAGAATATGCCAGGTTTTTTTGAACATGAGCTTTGTGAAAATACAGGTTAATGTACCAATCTCCTAAATTGCAATCCCAGTTATAGACATTACCAACAATGTAAGAAATGGACAAAAAATTACCATTGTCCATCTTTGCCCTGGAAATGTTTATAACACATTTCCATTTTCAATAATCTTTCCTCTACTTCAAACAGCACATTGCAATACTTCAAAAACCTAAGTTCTGTGCCACAATATTTTAATTTCAACTGTGGCACAGTTTCTTTAGTAAAATAGCTTCCTATAAAGGATGGCTTGCTTGTAGTTTTATAAAATATGCTAACATTTTATTGGATTAAAAATATACATACATATCTCAAGGTGCAGACCTTGGGATTCTTTCACTGCTCAATTCAGAAAGCTATTAGGACGCTCAGTATTTGCCAATTCAAGTTCTAGATAAAGACTGAGCTCTTGTTCTTGTTGGTGCCACTTTTCCAGAAAATACTAACGAAAGAACATTCCTGGAAGGCTCAAAGGTCTCCTTACTAGAGAAGGACACAGTATGGCCAAGTTCGAAAGCTAGTAGTTACTGGTGCAAAGAAAAATAAATTATAATTAATGTTAACACAGATGATTTTAAGGTATACAAGACCAAAAGTATCACTTTACAAAAGGTTTGGAAGTAACAGCAACTCTAAGCAATCTGCTCGCCTGCCCTAGAGCAGTAGTTCTCTATTGTTTTGGCACCACTATTTGAGGAGACTGCCAACACAAAAGAACTAATATATTCATTTTTGAAGACGTAAGTTACTTGATCCAGTTCCCTGTGCAACCTCAAATGGGGAGGGAATGCTAGGAACACTTTGAAATTAGCAATGCCACTCAACACTTGGCATCATGAATTCACACCATGAAGCTGAAAAGCCTTATGAGCCATACCTGGAACAGCACAACACTCTGCCCAATTACCTAATCCGGCTGGTTTGGAAGTGCAGCCACTAATGGCCATGCATTTTGTTGTCTGAGCAATGAACACAAATGGTGCATCTTATCAATGCAAATAACATGTCTCTTTTTGCATGCAACAGGTGTCAATTGATGTTTACTAGTCTTCCAGTATTTTAGTCACTTCAGACAGTATGCTTCATGCTGCAGTTTATACACCCATGAGCAATATTTAGAATAACTTTGCTACGTATAACAAGTTACACAATATTTTGAATTACAACTTATAATTCAAATACAAGCATGCTTCTTGAACCACTAGTATAGTGGATGATAAGACATGTAAAGCCTGCTTTTTCAGTAGAGCAGCCCACACAAGAGGCTACTGTATATTTGCAGGTTTCATTTCAAAAATGACAAGATTTACCACACAGGAAAATTAAAATTTCCTCAAATGCTTTATGAACTTGATATGCAGGTTAGCCAGGAAAGGTAAGAAATGGAATCCAGCAAACAAACCACACTGGTGCCAAAGAATATGGCAAAGAAAAATATCTGCTCTCATGATCTCATGAAGAAATCAGTGGAGCAAGATTTCACTGGACTGTTATTTGCCCCAAGCGTGAGCTGGGAAAGCTACTGCTCTCTAGAGCTCTTTCTAGGTAGAAACCCCCCTTTACCTCTTGCTTGGCTGAGGGTGTAAGAGGAGGCAGTCACATAATGTGATCATCCTTCCTAATCACTTCTTAACGACATCTCCACGTAAAAAAAAAAAAAAATCACAGATTCACAGCCATTTAGTGAAGCCATTTAAATAAACCACTTTACAAAATGACTGAAGTAAGCCAACACAGTTTTATCTTCACTATAGTTTGAAAACTTCCCAATGGTATTTGGATTTAAACTAATTCTATGCTGATTAGTGAATTAATCTGACTGAAATCTGTGTAGAAATGGCAGCAAATTCCCCCACATGGACAAAGCCTTGTTACAGGAGCAGTGGTGCAGCACAGCCCCGAGCACGAATCCTCCTGACAGCTCAGAGAAGAGCAGAGCAGCAGCGGCTGCCTCCGCTTGTAAAGGAGAGGAAGGACTGATGGACAGAGCGTGACTAAATCAGGCAATGCAGTGGTGGAGGGGGCTTAGCAAGAGATTCATTCACGGGAAAAGAGGGGGAACTGACTTGCTGAAAGGGAAGGGGGAGATTGCAGAGGGTGGGAGTGGTGGCGGGGCAGAGAGAAGAGCAGGACGGGGATGGGGCTTGGTCTGCAGCAAGACATTAGTCCTTGTCTCTTACTGTGACTACTACAAAAATACATGCAGTGCATGTATCTGCTCCTCAAGCCTGCTACTTATTTAAGTGTTGATTTATTTGATAATAAGCTTGCCATGACTTAGGATTTTCTTCTGTAGTGCAAGAGAAGGTATTCTAGGAATATGCCACTTACTTCGGCATATTCTCAGTAGGTTCTTTGAGGTATTCTAGGAATATGCCACTTCGGCATATTCTCAGTAGGTTCTTTAAACGCTGCCTTTCCTAGTCTGGTACACATTTATGGTACCTTTCATAAAATACCTTTATTTTATCTTTTAATAAACACTTACATTCATAATTAATGTTGTTTCACAATCTCAATTTGTGTTTAGTTATAGTTTTACCAGTTATAAAAAGTCTGCTACAAAGGGTAGGATGAGAAACTCCTTAATGTATGCCTTCTGCATGCAGGAGAAAAAAGATCTTTTCAGAATGTCGTTGTATGCAGCTGTGAATGTCATAGTAGCACCAATCTCGGCTCTCATGTAGTCTTTAACTTGCCTTTATTGTAAACAAAAATCTGGCCAATAAATTCAGGGTAAGAACTAGGGCAGACTGTCTGGTAAACGAATACACAGTAATGCTGAGAACAACAGATGCCTGGAAGGGACTGTCAGACTTGATTGTATTAAAACAGCTTAAGAAAAAAAAAAGAGGAGAAAAAAGAGAGAAAAAGAATGAAGCTCCTGTGCTTATGAAATAATTCTTCTTAATCTGTAAGAACTTCAATGTAATTTTCCTCATACCATTTAAAAAATTCTCTGCATTACAAGAGCCACATTACTTACCTCTGCCCTTTTAAGCATTTCCCACTTATTTAGAATTTTCATGGCATAAATGCGTTCTGTACACTTCATTTTAACAACAGCGACCTGAAATAATAAGATATCTTTGCTTAACAAAGGGATGATCAGCAAAAATCAACATTTTTATATAATAATATTCCAACAATACCAATAAATATGGTCAGTAAGCAGTCATCAGTAAATAATACACATATTGATAAATTACAACTTGATTCTTTGTTCCTCCCACATCACTCCTCCCTTACTACTAGGTACTGGATGCACAACACCCTGTGTGGCCAACTGTTCATGATCAAGTACGCAGGAGCTGAGACAGGAAAAGTATGAAGGTTTTCACTCGAGGACGTGCAGCAAAGCAGCTTGTTCGCCAAGAACAAGCAGGGTTTGTTCACCGTGACTCCACCAGGAGGGAACAGCTAAAAAGGACAGCCTTAGAAAACAAGTACAGCGGCTGTCAATTGAAATGTATTACATTTGACTAATTTATTTTACATTTTAGGTTTCAAAAACTTGAAAGATATTTTCAAATTAAGGTCCTTTTGTGTACTGCATACAGATATTTTAATAGAAACTCACCGTTCTGCTTAAAGTGTTTTACCACGCAACCTATGCACTAGATTTGCCTAAATTGGTCTATTACAAACAGTAGTTGTGCATAGAGCTGTACAGTAAAACAGAAGAATACAAAAACTTTAGGGCTTATAGAGTTATAGTTACAGAGGAAGACAAACACTGTATTTTGACATCAAGGACTGCATTCTCCAAAACCAAGACTAAAGCCATAATTCCCACAAACTTTTAATTTACATTAGTATTCTTACAGTTGGTAGAGAAGTGGGAATCATAACTAGGACAGCAACATCTTCACTGGATCATATACCGATTCCTGGAATACTTCTGCTGATACTGAGCTTTTTTCTGGTTCAGAAGAACTGACAAATCTGATGAGCTTTCATTGCTTCTAGCAGTGCTCTGCATAGCAGCAAAAGTAACAGGAATCATATCATGCCCATCCCTTCTGTTGCTGAAAGCCCTTTATCATCTAAAGGGGTGGGATTCAGAAGATTCAGGAATTCTAGAACAATGCTGACTGGAAAACAAGGTTGGCATAATGCATCAAGTATAGCAATAAAATACAAGTCAGAAGACCTAAAACCACCTTGTAAGTAAAGCAGCTGCAGAACTGGGAGGCGAAGAGGAAACTGCTCCTCCCGTAACACAAGAAGGGGGCACTCAGTTTTAGACATGTCATTCTGTGGACTTGCACCTAATACACCACCTGCACAGAGTTATATAATGGAAGCATATTCCAGGGAAAGGATCAGTACCTTACCCACACCTTACCACAGGGAAAAACATGGGAACTGAGCTGCAAATGCACCTGGGAAAAATACAGCTTAAAGAAGGATTCTTCTTAATGCTATGTAGAACATCCACAGCTACGTTACATCCCAGTTTCTCCTAGTAATAAGCATCTTCCACAAATGCTGCTCATGGTGGGAGGAGGTAAGTGAAATAAGGAAGTTTCCACTGAGATTCTTTAGATACTTACGAAACTGTTGGACACTGACCTTTAGTAGTGGTTTAAAAGTGTTCCGCTTTTTTCCTAGCCTTGTCATGGCCTTCAAATTAAAACCTATTGTAAAAAAATTCTCCTTGCATGCTCTTAATTATTTGCCTGATAAAGCCAAAGATACATATTAAGTTAACTGTATATTTAAAAGTTTGTAAAACTCCAAGATGGAGACTTTACCCTGTATGTGCTGTAAAGTTCTACTTCACACAGAACAGGATCACTCAGGAAATGCCCCGATTTCCACTAACGGGAGAGCTCAGAACAGAAAATAATCGGGTGAGCTCAGAACAGAAAATAATCAACTGCTGCAAGAGAGCTCTAGGGCAGGGGCGATTTGCAAGTCCTGAAGTAGCAAAATGGATAATTACCCAAATACAAAGAGGAATAAGTAGCAAGTATTTTGGAGAGAAAGAAGCCTGAAGGGAGCATAAGATCTCATGAAAGTAGCAGAGTTTTGTCCTGTCTTGGCCTCATGTCCAACTCAATTTAATCATTTGGCACAATTTTTTAAGAAATATATATATATATTTGTGTGTGTGTGTGTGCATGTAAATATACATAGAGAGAGACTCTGCTGATGCCTGAACCAGGAAAGAACACATCAAGCAACATCCTGAGAAAGCCAGTACTATTATAAGCAAGAATTTTGTAGCAATATTGATCAAAAAAGCTATTCCCTATCAAAAAAGCTAGTTTTTTTTTTTGCATTTGCCCAAGTTAGTTCCCATTCAGTCTGTTCATTGTTCATCAAGAGGCAATATTT